GTTTCAATTATTAGGTTCACATCCCCTTACACCTACTTATCATTTGATAGGGAACATGGTTAATACCTTCTTGGAAAATAAACCTCCCATGATTCACAGAAAAAAAAAGTAATGCATACCTGTAAGTCATGAGGACGTATGGAGATGATTATTCACAATTGATCAGCTATCAAGTGTCTGAATAAATGTTACATTTATATAAACACCCCACAGATTATACTTCTGTTCTCTTTTTTTCACCCCAGTTGTGTTAAATACAGTCTTCAAATTGATAAGAAAATTAAAGAAATTTTCAATGGGGAAGAAGCATTGAGAGAAGTCATTTCAACTGAGGGGTCTCATAACCTGTGTGGTCCAGATGAAAAGATGCCGATGTAAGAATTATTTCAGGAGTGCAGTACCATTTTCTCTCCTTTCTCTACAAAGATAAGGCAAGGTGACAGGAGAAAGATTGATTTCTTGGTGGTGAAATAGCTTAACAATATTTTTAGTTATGGATAAGGCAAAAAGTTTTATTTACATGCTTTAAAAATGGTGAAAAGTTGCATTTTTTTTAGCTTGCAATTTATTTAGAAAAAGTAGTGTCCGGTTTGTAGAGATAAAAAACAACGTTTCAGGATCGAAATGACTGTCCGCGTCCGGTTACGGGAGTGTCCGCTTTGCGGAGAATGTACGTAATGGTTTATTCATAGAAGATTCCCTGGGAATTAAAAATATGTCCGTATTGAGAGGCATCCGTTTTGCAGGAGTGTCCATAACAGGAGGTTTCACTGTATATATATTTGCTAAATTAATTATGAAAGGGAAATTTTTTTAGAAAAAATGTTTTTTTTTTAATGAAAAAGTATTTTTTTAATGAATTCTAGTTATTAAAAGTATTTAATTTTCTGCAATTATACTAATTTTTTTTAAATAAAAATTTAGCTCAAGAACACTAACGTTTATATAAAAATTATGATATTTACCACGAACTTGGCTAAATGGATCATGGAATATCAAAATTAAGTCATTTATTAGAATTTTAGTCATATTTTTGTTCTTATTTAGGCAACTATTTTTAAATTTTTCTGCAACTATTTTCATATTTTTGGCTACTAAAAGCAATTATTTTGTTTGTTCATTTTTTTCTGTAGCAACTATGTGTAAGTGGAAATTACCTTGTTTTTAGATACCTTTCTTTTTTAAGCAAAATACTTATCAAATAATGCATATTTAACAGTGAATCTAATGTATTTTATTTAATGAAAATTTAGAAATATTGCTTTTTGTGAAGTTTACATTTTATGAAACAACATCAATTTACAATATTGCCAACTTTCTATGCTTTGTGGAAATATTTCTGGTAGTGATAGCAAAGTTTATATTTTAATGTTTATATTTTAATTTTTTTAACAAAAAATCAAAGTTATTTTCCACACCATTACATGTGAATGATTTCCAAAATTTTTTATAAAAGGCCACCTTCTTTCAGTTCTCCTGTGGTGAGTTTTTAAAATGATGATAGATTTAACCAATATTCTGAAAGTTTTTGATTGTACAACCCTTTATTAGTGTTTTGCAAAAAGCTTTAGTTTTCAGTCCTGAATTTAAATAAAAGAAAATACTTTTGTGTAACAGATCAACACTTGTAAAAACAAATAGTTTCCACATTTTTTAATAAATATGACAATTACAGGGTGCATAGCGTTTTTAAAAAGTGCTTGATTTTTCCCTTTTCAAAAATAAGACCCTGTTGATTTTCGCCACGTGATATGCAAAAGCGTGGTTTTCACATTATTCTATTCAACGTTTTCGCAAATCATTCAAACAGAATGCATTTTGGCTTACCATCGTTCCATAGCGTAAGAAAGCACCAATAATTTTGCATGTTTGATTAAATGCTCTCGAGTCTGCATGTGCATATACTGAGCTGTATTCATTGGGAATTATTCTTGCACTATAATTTGTAACTTGGCTGCATTTTGCAAAAAATTCTCATTTCCTGGCTTCATTTTCCTCGCTCTGAAATCGAATCTCTGTCTTTTTATGGTGACTAATGTAATCAAGAAAAAGAGTTATTTGTCAGAAACTGGTTATTTTATTATGATCATGTAAAGTCTTTGAAAATTATTTTGCATTTTGTTTACGTATATAGTGCTTATTTTTTGTTGAAAGATTTGGCTACTCGCCATGACTTATGTATTATCTGTCTGAATTCTCTTAGTCAGTAGCACTGTATGCGATTAAGGTTACAATATTTCAATTAGTGGTGTGGAGTAAACATTTAGAACAAGTTTTGACTGGGGTTGATAGGAAAAGTACTAAAAGTAAAATCTCTATTTTTTTTTCTTTGTATTTATTTTTATTTATTTATTATTTTTTTTTGGCAACTTTAGATTCTGTAGGGAGGGGAGTTATTTTGATAAATAGGCTTCAGTTTCATTTATTGCTTTCGTTAGTTGCCCAATAAACACTAGTTCAAGATGAATTTTCCAGTAGAGATCTGTCAATCACGCAGTATCTGATAGATATTTTTATAATAAATTGTAACTTTGACTTGGAAATTCTAATATGTGAACTTATTTGCCTTTTGGAAACTCAAAAATTATCTTAAATATTACTATCCTGAAATTAATTTAAACTCTTTTTCTTTTTAATGTTTATTAGGAGTCTCCTCATTTTCCAAACTTCTTGGATGATTTCTGTAGAGATTTATGCTTGAATGGTAAGAAAATTTATTTTACATAATTACTTTGAAAAATGTATGTTTTAATTTTTAAAGTTTTTAACTAATTTTAATATTAATTTATTTCAGTGAGTCCTGAAGATATCAAAAAAATAACTAGTACTTTAAATGCCTTAGCACATGAGAAAGTGAAAGCCCAAAAGGTAAATATTTTTTAATGAATTATTTTTTTATTTTAATTTTTTTTTATTAAAATATACCAAGGATGTAAATAAAAGATGTAATAAAAAGATTTGAAAGATGTAAATAAAGGTTACTGATATTCATGTATATTTTATTTATTTCATTGCTATGCTAACTGCTAAACAATTTCAAAACTTTATATATATATATTTTATATATATATATATATATATTTTACAGACTGTTTTTTCTTTCTTGGTCTTTTGTGAAGAATATGATTTAGTTCATAGATTCTCAACTTTTTAAACGTTGCCGTCCCCTTAAAGAGCGTTTTACCACCCCCCCCCCCTTTGTGAAAATCCAGTTATTTAGATTATGGAGACGATGTGGGGGGGGTACTGAATTATAAGAGGCAACATTTTAAAGCAATTTTCTTATGTGTTAAATTTGTTTAGTTTCTTAAAAAAATTAAATGTGTACGTTAACTCGATACTTTTCTCCTGGCAGGTAGTTTCAGTATATTTGTTATAATCAAAATAAATAGGATAATGAAAATATGCAGCATTTCTTATTGATATTTGTGAAAAATGATAAATCTTTATTTTGTTTGTAGGGATGAATTTTTTTGTAAATGCTCCTGCAAACGAGTAGGTTTCATTGCGTCATTAGATAAAACTTTTTTATAAAATAAACACATGGGTAGTTGAGAGTTCAACGGCGATTGCACAAATCCGAGAGTCAAGTATGTGATACTGTATTGACGTCACTTTTTGTTAACCGACATTGTTGGGTGCAGTAAAATACAAGCGATGAAAGAAAATCAACTATTACTCAAAATTAGTCAATAATTTACTGCTGATTCGCGCAGGTATCTGACAAAATAATTAATGAAGTCGAGTCAAAGCTAGGGATAGAACTGAAAGGCAGCCAACAAAAACCATTATGAAAAACACAAGAGAACATACTGAAAGAGCTTTTCTCTTGAATTTTCGTCAGAGGCAAAACCAAATCACTCATGGTTTGCATTAGAGAATAGGTGTCCCAAAATTTGCTTTATTGCTGGTAAAAATGTATCAGAAAATCTTAATTTGTTATATTAATTTAATAATTTTATTTGGGAAATTTAAAATAATGACAAAACATGGTAATCTGCCCCTTACCGTCAAAAACAGGTTCACCACCCCTCAGTATACTCCCACCGCCCTCGTTGAGAAACAATGATTTAGTTTAATGTAATATATAAAAGTGCAAGTTAACTTTCAAAAAATTTTAATTTAATTCTCAAAAAAATTTATGTATATTGAGATATTATTTGTATTGTACTCATCTTTAATGAAACTCATAATAATTATTGTTAGATTAATTTGGAAATTAGGAAGGAAAAGTAGTGCAAAAGTGTTTTACTTTTGTGTAGAACTGTACTAAAATGTTAGCTGCCGGCAACAGTGTTTTAGGCAATCGGGTGCCTGGGAGTTTTTGACACCTCGTTATTGTTTGTTTTCTTATTTGTGAATCTTCACAAATTCTTGGTTAATCATTTTGTTATATTGTATAACGTTTTCAACTTGAAATTCTACTTCGGTACTTTTTAATCCAGTACGAGAAATTTATTACTCAAACTTCAACCTTCTGATGTTTTTATTTTATAATAAAATGAATGTTACAATTTAATTTTTTTTTATTTCATATTGCTTTAATAATTAAAAAATTTCTAAAACAAATGCAACTAATGTCAATTTTTTTCTCCATCATATTAATTTATTCTGCCCTCTTCAAAGAATTAAAACTGGTGTGAAGGACAAAGAATATTTATTAATACATCTTTTTTTTTCTTGAAAAAATGTAAAGAAAGAAGGAAACCCTATACAGATAAGTACAGCTATGTGTGTGTACGGGTTAAAAACAAGAATTTCTCCCTCACACACACGCATATGTCATAGACTGCAATGAAAGATAAATGGACAGTAGAAAATTGAATGGAGAGGAGTTAGCAAGACAGGGGAAAGAGAAGAACTATTTTTGAGTCTATAATTTATAGAATTTTACTTCATTCTTGAAAAATAATTTTAAAAAAATATTAATACTTTTTCATGACTGAAGAATTAAAATTTTCTGCAATTTGTTCAGAAATAATAAATACTTTTATTAAATGTAGTAATCAATTTATTAGTTTTTTTTTTATCATTTATAACTATTATTATTGCTACATAACTTCAAACATGAAGCTGAGCTGCTAAACATCTTAAATTTTTTAAACTGCGTTTTGATACATTTGTTTGTTTTGTGGCCGAAGTTATGTTAGCTATTGAGTTTTCAAAGAAATACTTTAATAACAATAATTCATGGTATAATATTATATCGGACTTTTTTCGTAATAGACCTAGTTTAGAATGAGCTGTTTTGATAGATGGTCTTTTTGTGCTATTAATGCTATTTTTAAAGATACAAGTCGATGCCATTTTATTAAATGTCATACTTTTTTAAACAATAGGCCTCTATGTCAGAAAAAGTTGAGTTAAAATTGAGATGCTTTAATTCTCTTTTATCATTTTTTAATTGATTTATTTTTCACTAATTAATGCTGCATATGTATCATTAAATTTAGTTAAGTATTTCTTACCTTTTCAGGCAAAAGCGGGGAAGAAGAAACCAGGTTCTAAAAAAGCAAGTCTAAAACTTACTAGAAATGATGATTATTCAATAATAGACTATGCAGATGAATTTGAGGATTGTATTTAATTCTCTTTTATTTTATCTTGAATTGTTGATAGCTTCTTCTCTCCTAATATCTGGATGCTGTATATGTTGATTTTCAATAAATTTATAAAAATTTGTATTGTTTTGTTCTAGTTTGAACATTTAGTTAGTAAAAAGTTAAAACAAATTTAGTGCTTTCATTCAAAAATGATTTAATTTAAAATGATTTTAGCATTACTACCTATTCACTAAATGTATTTATAATCATGTGATGATATGATTCAACTTTGACAGAATAAAAAAAAAAAAAAAATTTAATTTGATTGCATTGGAGAAAACAATTCTTGTCATGAGTAAAAATTGGAAATCGTGGTAGTTATCTTTTGTGGGACAGGATTGATTTTAAAACACATTTTTACTTTTCCTAAAATGAATTTAAGATGAAATTGTTGATAATTTTTAATTGCTAGTTGCTTAAAAACTAATTAAGTTCATACAGGGTGGCCACTCACTCTGGAAACCGGGAATTCTCAGGGAATTTTGAAATACCACTGGAAAACCGGGAATTCTCAGGGAATTTCACGTCAATTCTGGAAAATAATTTTGTCGCGCGTCGCCGCTCTTTTCTTCCCATTCCGCTATGTTTAGTTTTTCGGAGCGAAACGCATCTGCTTCATCGCGTTCAAGCATCACGTGATTATCCTCCAATGAACGCTTCGTGTTCTTGTGCCTTTTTGTGGATGTTGGAACTGAAGAACAAGAATCATTCAGAAAAATCAGAGCAGTGTTCAACAAAGGAAGTTCTTTCTGGAATGATATTGGTAAGTTTTGATTTTTGTATTCTATTAATTTTACAGGATCGCAATTTTATTGAGAATTGAAATAAAAATATTTAAAAGTGCTTTAATTTATGTAAATAAGCTATAATTATGCTTTAATTTATGTGAAATTTCGAATCCATATTTGACCATTACGAATTATATCGAGAATTTGAATTAAAATAATATTCTGATTTAAAAATCTCGAATAAAAAAACCGATGTTTTTTTATCATTAAATTAATTAAACTATTTTTCATTTTAAACAAAAGTCTATTGTAGAATTTCGAATATTTTTTGCTTCATTAATTTTTAACTTTTTTGTGTAAATTTTATTATTTTTCATCGAGCATCCCGATTTTAAAACAAAAAAAAAAATTCCTTATAGAAAAGTTTTATTATTTTTCAGTAACTTTGTACTTTTAAGCCAAGAAATCGAATTCTGAAATCAAAAAAAAAAAAATAATAATAATAATAATAATAAATTAAAAAAATCATACAATTTAAAGTAGAAAAAAGTAATGGATTTTTTCTTTGATTAATAATTTAATCTAATTATTTGTTTATCATTTCATTTGAAACAAAAATTTTATCGTAAAATTTCGAATTAATATCAGAAATTAAGTATAATTTATGAGACAAGTACATCGATTGGAAAATTTTGTTTTTCTATTTTCCAGTAACTTTACATTATTTGATTTTTATTATTTTTCCCACAGAATTCCAATTTTAATTTAAAAATTGTTATCTAGGGACGTTTTTGTTTTATTATTTTTCAGTAACTTTTTATTATCTAATTTTACATAGAAATTTGAATAGTAAAATAAGACAAATTTATCGATGTATACAATTAAGAGTAGAAAAAATTAGGCTATTTTTTTTTACCTCATATTAAAAATTTTATCGTGAAATTTCGAATTTTTGTTGGAATTTAGGTATAATTTGAGTGATAAATAAATCGATAGTGAAATTTTGTTTTTGCTTTTGTTTTCGTTTTCCAGTAACTTTTATTACGCGATTTTTATTATTTTTTTTATTGAAAATTCTAATTTTAAAATGTTAATTTGTTGTTCGAACGAGAGTTCGACAGCTAATTTTTTTAAAAATGTTTTTGATTAAAAAAGTAAATAAATGCGGAAATTTTATAGAGAGAATGAATGATGGATGGATTTATTTACGGCACACAATGGGCAAATTGCGACAATTAGGAAACATCCCGTAGCATCAAAATCTCGAAATTTATGTTATAATTTGTAATATAAAAGTTATTTCTTTTAAAAAGTTTTAAATCTCATAAATGAAATCGAGAATAAATAAATAAAATAAAAACATTTAAAAAAATTAGCTGACGAATTGCCGTGCAAACAACGAATTAACTAGTGTTACCAAAACGGCGAAATTCATAGCGTCATTTTTTGCAACTTGACGGGTTCTTGGTGACTTTAAAATTCCATATGAATTTGCCAGTCATAAACAAAGCCATCAACTGGTATAACACCAATTAAAAATGAACCAATGCATTAGATTTAGGAATTTAGGGGAAGTAATGTTATAAACGTGTAGAAACAATAAAAATAATCTATACTTTTTTCCACACAGATTTGTAGAAGAAAAAAAACTTATGATTAAATTAAAGAAAAAGTCTACAAATCCTCTAGATAAATCAAGAAATTTGCTAACAAACATCGCCCCTGACCTTGAAGATCATTAGATCCAAAGGGGGCAGGGAAGGGACAAATGTTTTATTTTCTCCTGTGTTTATTTTCTTGTTCTGATAAGCTGCTATTAATCAAACTTAAAGGAGTGGCAAGCTGATTTCGTTTTCTCTTTTATTTAAGAGGGGGTGGGGAAAATGCATCGCACAGGCATAGCAATGAATGTTTGTGAGTTAAGGAACTTGAAACATCTGGCTAAGAGTATTGATTTTAAAGGTGAAATCTGAGATTTATTTTCAATCATCCACTTCAGTTACTCAGTTTTGTTATTTATTATGGTGAATTGTTTTATTATTTCGGATAATGCATTATTTAATCAGCAGTTATATTCATCTATTTGACATCAATTAACAAAACAATATTTTTTTGTTGAATAAATTCTGATTTCTTAGAAATGCGATATCATTAGCAAGTTTTTCTTGATGTGCAATCACATCTGCTTTCGTTAAATATAGTCTTTTAATAAAAAAAAATAAAATAAAGGAAGATTGTTTATTAATTTAAGCATATAGTTATTTGTTAATAAAAGCAGGCGATTATTTTATAAAGAAGATGGCAGTTTTTTTTTTTTTTTTTTAAATTTTGATTNTTTTTTTTTTTTTTTTTTTAGGATAAATTTTGTACTTAATGATAAAATTTATGAATAAAAAGAATTAAATTATTAAGTTGTTTTTTTTTTAATTCCGTTTATCTTATAATATCCTGTATCTTCGAGATTTTAATACTACGATGAAATTGCGATTTCAAACGAGCAGGATAAATAAAATTGCACTAATGACGAAGTTAGCAATTGTCGCCATGGCGCGTTTGGCAGAACTAGTGACTCTTAGATCGGGGGATCAAATCCCAGCTTCCGGCGATTCTTTAGAAAGCTGAAACTTTTAAATAAAGTTAACTTGAATCTTGATCTTAACTTGAATCTTAATATTCTGATTGCTTGGCTTTCAAATATTCTTCTGAAACTAAAGGAATTGAGAATTCAAGTTTTATAATCAATTAGCGATCTTATTAAATACTTAAGCATTAGATTTGCTTTGAACATAAATTAGTTATTAAAATTTTGTAACAAAAATAAAATCTTATCTATTTTTGCAGCTGGAAAAAATTTGAACGTTACTGGAAATAAAAAATAAATTAAAAAAGAATTATTGTTCCAGTTTAAATAGAAGTCCACAATATTGTTCTAATTTGAAAGTTTTATGACATTTATTTTCATGATAGTCATTTGACTTACAAAAGATCTTTCGTTAAAAATGACTATTGTTTTTTTTTTATTTATTCCAGCTTTTTTTTTTACTTTTTATTTTTCTGGAGGAGGCTCTAAAAATAAGGGGTGTGTATTATAGGCCAGGAATTAAGGTAGATGCTTTGTAACCAAGGTGATCATTAATTGTTTATGTTTTTAATTGACGAAAAAATGTTTAGATTATTTTTTATTTTCCTCAAGAACAACGCCTTTTTTTCATTTTATCATTTTTTAAGATTAAAATGAAAACATTCATTTATTTTCCTTAGTGCAGTTATCATCTGCTATGATAATAGTTAGCTAGTGGAGTGCATTAAGTATCTAGACCTTTTCTCAAAAAATGAGCGGGAATATTTAACAATTCCGGTTTTTTTGGTGGGTTACTAGCCCCTTTATTGATAGAAAAAGCTTATTAGAAGTTTTAATACATTTATGACAAGATTTATTCAGAATGTGACTAACTAAATTCTATTTTGTAATGTGATTAGCTAAATTCTATTGTTTTTTTTTTTTGCAGATTTGTAGTCTGTTTTTCTGTAACCTTTTTTCAGTAGTTAAATTTATTTTCAAAATACAAACTAAAACAAAGTGTTTATAAAGATTTTATTTTTAGGTGTCTTGAAACGATGGCGCCTGGTTTTAAAACATCATTTAAGACCGAATGGATGGAAATTCCTCATTATGCCCCATGGTTACGTGAGTGCCTGACTGACAAATTTTCTGCAGTGTGTAAATTATGCAATTCTGTATTTTCCCTGAGCAATATGGGAAAACAAGCACTAACTAGTCATCAGAAATCCAGGAAACACAAAAAAGCCATTATTAGCAGAAATATGTCTAATGATTTGAGGAGTGCATTTGGTGAACAAGATTCTACTACCAAAAATCTTGTATTTAATTCTCTAAATGAGCCAGCTAAAAAGGATGCAACATTAGTTTCTTTTCTGAGATCAGAAAGTGTATCAGAAGCAGAAATCTTGTGGTGTTTGTATGCAGTGATGGAACACTCTTCTTTTCGTTCTGCGGGTCGGGCAGTACTTTTAATGAAAAAAATTTTTACTGACAGTGAGATAGTGAAAAAAATATCTCTACAAAGAACCAAAATAGCATACACCTGTGTTCATGGTATTGCTCCATATTATAGGGAGAAATTACAAAAAACCATAGCTAGCTGTGATTATTTAGTTATAGGCTTTGATGAAAGTCTAAATAAAATCGCTCAGAAACAACAAATGGACGTAAGTGTTCGACTTTGGAATAAAGATTCAAATAAAGTGCAGGCACGATGTTTGACATCAGTATTTCTTGGTCATTCGACAGCAAAGGATTTGTTGGATAATTTCAAAGAAGCCCTTTCCCAATTTTCCATCAATAAAAATAAAATAATTCAAATATCTATGGATGGACCTAATGTTAACCATAAATTTCTTAATGATCTTAAAAAAGAACTTGAGGAAATGCCGCAAGATCCTGTGCTGTTAGATATAGGTAGCTGTGGACTGCATACAATCCATTGTGGGTTTAAACATGCAATAAAGTCTACAGGATGGAATGTAGTGGACTTTTTACGGGCGCTATACTACATTTTTAAAGATGTACCATCACATAGAGCTGATTTCATATATTTCACTGGATGTGAAAAATTTCCAAAGAAATTTTGTGCAATCCGATGGGTTCAAAATGTAGAAGTTGCTGAGAGGGCATTAGAAATGTTGCCTCATATTTTCGAATTTGTAAAAGCAGCAAAGAAGGAGAAAAAAATCTATGTTGGCTCAAAAAATTTCAGTGTACTCTCGGAGTGTATCAAAGACAGTTTCTTTGCTGCAAAATTGGCATTTTTTCAGTCATTAGCTGCTTTTATTGAAACATTTCTCACAGAATTTCAGAGTGATGCTCCATTAGCTCCTTTACTTTTCTCTAATTTAACATCAGTTTTAAGATCTTTTCTTGATAAATTTGTAAAACCCGATATTTTAGTGGAGAACTCTTCAAAATTAGGAAAAATAGATTTGTCATTGGCAGATAATCTGCTTCCAATCAACGAAGTTGCTCTCAGTTTTGCAGTTAAGGATGAAATTAGGAAAATAAAAGATTCTTCACCTTCTGAAGAATTTTCATTTAGGAAAGAATGTGCAATTGCTTATAAAAAATTCTGTGAAAAGATTTTAGAAAGATCACCTTTTAAATTCCAGTTAACAAGGGGGCTATCTTGTCTTGATCCTGGTGTAATTTTAAATACAGCAATTGCTGAAAAACGGCTTTCATCTTGCCTTTCAATGTTGGTATCTAGCAATTGGATATCAGGTATCAAGGCTGACAGTGTGAAAGATAGTTACAAAACGTTCATTCGGAATCCTCTAGTTAAGAAAGAAATGGAGCAATTTGAGAAGAGGGAAAAACGACTGGATAATGTTTTCTTCTCTCTATTTGAAGTTTGCAATGCACCAGAAAATTTACGTTCCTTTGTTAAGCTTCTCCTCATATTGTCACACGAAGTGCTTTTATAGAAAGGGGCTTTTCTATTAATTCAGATTGTTTAATAAAAAATGAACATGAAGATAGTTTAGTTGCTCTAAGGCAAATTCATGATGGTGTTATGGATGCTGGTGATGTTAACAATATAACTGTGACGAAATCCATGATAAACTACGGAAAACAGTCTCACCCACGTTATATTGAAGTATTAGAAAAAAGGAAGGAGGCAGCAGAAGAAAAAAAGAAAGTTATGTTAGAAAAGAGGCAAAATGAAAAATTAAAAAAAGAATTGCATGCTAAAAAACAAAAATTAACGGCTGATTTTTATTTAGAAACTTCTTTAATTGATGAACAATTAAAAGCTATAAGAAATTAATTTTTAAAAGCTTTCAATTATTCACTTGTTGAGCTATTTATACTGTATAATTTGATTAACTCCACTTTTTAAAACATCTCAAACTTAAGTGTCAAAGAATATATTAATATATATATATATATAGTATATTTTTTATATTTATATTTAAAATAAGTTTTGCAGATAATATAAATGAACAACATTATATGACTAAATATTTTTGGCTTTTCATTTATTGATAATTTATTTCACAAGTAATTTTGATCTCAATTCTAAATTTTTAGTTTGATGGAGTTGATCAATTTGTGTACTAAGCTATTTATATAACAACTTTTTATTTTATACAAAATAAAGTTTCTAAAATTCCTTGAAATGTAGATTTTTATTTTTATAATTTTTATAAACTATTATTAATTTTTAAGTTTATTTTTATGGTTGAGTATACAGCAGTTATTTTTTTATATGTAAATTTTATGGCTGCTATTTCAATAATCTGTATTTTTAGCAGAAATATGTGTATTAATATATATTTTTTGGTGCTAGAAATGCCTAACTTTTTACACCTGTTTTATCAGAGAACATTTACACTTTTTTCTCATTTTAATGTGTCATCAAATCTTGTAAATGTGTATCCACATTTGTAAAAGAAATTCATACAACACATTTTAAAAGCAACACAGCTGTATATATAGTATATATTTTTTTTATTTACTGTATATTGTTGTATAGCTAATAAATTTATGAAGTCTCGTTAATGTTGCGTTGTGGTATCTGGAATTTTAGAAATTTACTCTGGAAAGTCTGGAAAACTCAGGGAATTTTTTTTGGTCTGGAGAGTGGCCACCCTGTTATAAGAAATCTATCAAAGTTGTGTTAAATTACAATTGGAAAGTTCAAAACAAATATTACTATTAAAAAAAATAACCAGACTATATTCATTGTAATAATTCTTCAATATTCATAATTTTTTTTTAACTAGATTAAATCCAGATGATTTTATTGTGGAAGAAGAATATGAGGATGATGATGATCTAAGCCAGGATGAAGCAGATGATTTTTCTGATGCTGGTTCTGATTTAAGTGAAACATCAAGTCCAGATAATTCTACACAAAAACAAAAGAGTTGTCCAAAATATATGGTCAAGGTATGGAATGTTGTGCTAATATAACTTTTATCTTCAACAAAAAGTAATATTGCTCTTTGTAAATATCAGTCCCAGCAACATTCTTGCTGAATTTTTTGTAAAAAGGCATCCTGAATCAAAATATGATCCCTGTTTTCCCTTATCACCCACTGTTTCTTATATTTTTGTGGCAATAATTTGAATGCAGGTAAAGGTATATTTTAGCTTTTTAATTTCCTTTCTTCTGAGGGTAAAAGTTTTAGAACATAACTATTAAAAAAACGTAAAGGGTAAGTCCTAAAATTTTTGAAGAAAATAGTAAGCTATGATTATTTTTTCTTCTTTTTTATTATGTACAAAAATTTTGATGATTCACTGTGTAACAGTGGCACATTCAATAATGTTTACGCCTCATAGTTTGTGTAATTGAAAATTTTCATACTTTCATAAATATTAATTACAATAACAAGCATAACCTATTATAATGCAGTTAAAATAATCCCTCTCCTTCCAAATCAAATCCATAAATATGAAATTATCAAAAAGTAAGGAACATAAAAAAGAGCTTCCCAAAAAACGGTTGTTGATGGGGAAATTGGTCATATCCAGTTTCAGGACATCATTTTATGTTTGAATAAACAGGATTGGGAAAAAAAAATAATAATTTTACTTAATAATGCTTTCCTTTTTTTTTATATAATAAAATAGTTTTTTATTTTAGAAATTGGAAGAGTATGATGATTTTTTTTCTTCTTTGGAGCAAAATAGTCCAGAAAACTTAAATACTGCCAAAGAGAAAATAGAAAAGGTAATATCTAATGTAAATTTGCTTCTGTAAAAATTAATTATTACTTCCTTTCCTTAAATTTAGTATGAACTTCCTTAATGTCTTTTTCAGAAAATGGAAGAGTATGAAGAAGACCAAATTGGGCCTTTAGAGGATGAAGAGATCTTTGGCTATCTCACTGGTGAAAATGAACATATTGATTACTATCTAGGAAAAAAGAAACTGCGAGAGTGAGTTTTTTCCTTTCGTTTATTAGTAATGTATAAATTCGTGATTTGCTCTTTTCCATCCTTTTGAATATGATTCTATTTATTCATAAACAGTTATTGTGCAATGTTTGTGATCAACATCAAATATGCCTATTTACTGGCATGAGAAACTAAGTTCTTACCTTGTTCATAATCAGGATCTTTATTCAGAAATTAATCAGTCAATGTGATTGATTAATTTCTGAACCGGTAAGTACCAATGTACATACCGGTTTACAGAATCAAAGGAGTTAATTATCCTACATTCAATTTTTAATTTTAGACTTGTTACCATACGTAGTGAATTGAGTTCTTTGTATTATTTTCTCCTTTATTGATCCTTTTAAATTGCCAATTATGTTAATTGTTTGACAATATTGTAATGTAAATTCTAATTTAAACTTTTTAAGTTATGTGAGCTTGTAAATGTGAAGTTCATAAGTATATTTTTAAAAAAAAAATTTTTTTTCCTTCTTCTCAAAAGGGAAGATCTTGAAATAGGAAAATGTGATGATACATTAAGAGAGAAAATTCTGAAGTACTCTGAGGAAGATCATGTAGAAAAGCTAATTGAAATTGTCACTGAACATCCCGTTGAATTCGACTGTGAATCTATTATAAGTGAGTTAAGTGTTTTTTTCTTTTATATATTTATCATTGATGAGTTCTCCCTAGGAATGAAAAAGGGCAGGGCCCTGTCTTTCAGAAAAGGGAACTATAAGTTTTGAAAGGGCACTAAATCAATGGTGTAAAAATTTATAAAAGTGTAATAAGTAATAATTGAATTAGATCTCCAACAATATTTAAATTACCCTCTTATACTTTTTTATGTGTATATTTCAAAAAATAATTCTCTCTCATTATCAGAGTAAGAGAAAAATTTGTAGTTTATAAAAATAATTAAAGGTGTGCTAATAGATAATCTCGACACAAATTTTTTCCAAAAAAAGTGGAAAGTTATTTATTTAAAAAAATAATTTTAAAACTTAAAACTATTAAGAAATTTATTAATATACCCCATTAAATAAGATATTTTAAAAATTTTATGAGTTAACAATAATCCTAAGAAAGTAAATTTTTGTAATAGTAATCGGAATTAAACCTATAAGCTCAGATAATTTTACCAGTGTGTAATTATTATTTAAACAGTAAATTAATATTTTTTAAAATGGAATATGAATAAAAAGGCAGTGTTTTCAAGGAATGGGCGGTTTATTTTTATAAAAGGAGAATGTGGGTGCATTTATAGGGATCAAACGGCAGGCATGGGGCAGAGTAAATTTAAGAGTTATCTTCTGTTCTTTGTTTACCTTTTAATTTTATTTATGCATTAATAGCTAAATGCATAAACACTGCACTGATAGTTTAATATTTTAAGTGTGCATCAGCATCTCATTNTTTTTATACAAAAGACTCTATTTAAAAAAATATTTATAAGACAGGGATGACTTTAATGTTTAGAATTAAGGTCTCTGATGCATTATGTATATGATTTGCATTATTTGTGATAATTTAAAAATGTTGTAATAGTTTTGATCTGTGCTGTTCTCTTCAATCTCTTTTTTTTTTCCATAAAAGTAGAATTGTGTATACTATTTTTTTTAATTATTTGTTTTATTTTAATGTTAATAATTGGTTAATTAAAATTGACGAATGCATTAAGTGTAAAAGTACCAATTTTTTATGCTATTAAAAAAATTTGCAACTAGTATTAATATTTTATAATCTAAAAATTTATTAGGATATGTTTCTATTTTGTTTTATAGGTACATATTCTAACAAATACAATCATCCATCAATAATTAGGGAAGAAGGAAAGGTAAATTTCTTGTATTTTATTTCCTTTTTTTCTTTCTAAATAATAGCATCTCCTTTCTACAATGCTACAGCATTTTCACAACAATCCATGGTGATTCCATGGGTATTTTATAAAGCTTATGTTAGGTAGTGAAGTTGATTGTTTTGCTTTACCTTTGCTGAAAACTCTTGAATAGTTTAGTTAAACTATCTTAGCTTCCACTTTTACTAAAAAAGAGTATGTTATGTTGCCTGCAGAAAAATAAATAAAATACAGTTGTAAGAATAGAATCCTTCCTAAGAAATATAAATGAGAAAAATTTACTAAAAATTCAGAATTAGATATTGCGTTGTACAAGTAGTTATACAGTAGAAATTGCATTGCAGTAATTAATGCACAAAAGTAATGAATTATGGTCATGATCATTTTTAACTCAGGTTGACAACTAAATTTCTGCTGCTTTTTGCAAATTTGTTTTAAGTGAGGGATTTGTTAAAAGTTTAATCTTAACACATACAGAGTCCTTCAAAATCCCAGAAAACGTTCTATCAGTTTTTGAAGAGCCCTAAATATTTACTATTTTTTAAGCAATAAACAATTACTTTTATTATCGTCTGAAACGGATAGTCCCGTGATTATTCTCGATTTGACGTCACCCAAGCCCATCTTCCGGTCATTTACAATCGTTGTGCTGTGAAAGCCATTAGGTTCTTTCTTTCTTTTGAATTTTCATAATTAAATCCAACTATTTTAGATGATAAATAACTATGTGAGAACAAAAATATGCCCTAATGTAACTTAATGAAAATGTGAGCTTACTATAACGTGTTTTTATAATATTTTAAATTTCAATGGTACTCACTGAAACATTGTTAAATAGTTGACAAAATTTTCTAGTTCTTTAGCAAGATTTTTTAGGCTTTATAAAAAAGGTGTTAGCGTGAGTTATGGATTCCTGATATTACTTATTAAAATGATGAGTTTTAAATAGAAAATAATTTTGTTCCTTCATAACCATTTGTTATGAAAGTATCAGTATATCAGTAGCCTTATGAAAAAAATTGTGATCCCAGCATAACTATTAATCCATTTTTCAACAAAAAAATCTTTTAAAAAGAAGTTTAAAGAAAAGATAAATAATATAGTCCAGTTGATTTTATTCACATTATTTTAGTTAACGTTAATCTATGTTATAAGAATATTGAACTGAAGAATATGCATTTATTTAGTTCCACATTACAGAAACCGGAATTAAATTTTATTATTACATATTAAAGTAATTTTTCAAGATAACAAAACTCCTATTTACTCAAAGTATAACAATTTTAACAACGATATTAACATTACTGTCTACTTAATTATTTAATGAATAATAAAATGTACATTGGAATTTCATTTCATTGTGCATAATTTTTTTTTTTTAATTCTTTAGCTTTAGTGAAATAAAGAAGTTTAGCTTAATGATTTTTGCTGAAATTATGTGGTTATATTAAATATCATTAAGTGAATATATTGCATAAAGAGGAATTAAAATGTATAAATTTAAAAATAAAAATGGTTTCTAACTAAAGAGAAATTTCTATTTACTCAAAGAATAATATTGAGAATAGATATGAGCATTAATGTGTATTTAAATACGTACATTAATAAAAAAAGAAATAAACTGCATTAGTAAATATATACTTTAAAATATATTTAAACTCGAGTAAAAAAAAATTTTAAAAGGCAAATCTAAATTTTATTACCTCAATATTTTAACCTAAGCACATGGGTTATAACGATGATGAATGGATATATTTCAATGAACTAGATTTATGAAAACATTAATTTTTTAATGCAAAATCGAATAATAAAATCATTCACGCTATATTTAAATGTAAACTATTTCTATCCAATATGCGACTAACTTTAATTCGGCTGTAATTGAACATTCTTTTAACTTAAAAATAAGCGGAATAAAATAATATTTTCAATGAACTTTAATACCACTGATTTTATGTGGAATAAAATTATTCGCTGTGATAAGCTGAATATTCATTTCTCCAGCTATTTTAGTGATAAATAAACAGTTTGAAGTTTTAATCCTTCCATTTTGCTTACACTCCCAAAGCCATAAAATTCACGAAATTTTTACTAATAATATGCAGAGGGTGTTCATACGATATAAGTGATATCAAAACTAATAAAGCATTGAAATACCTTAGAGGATGGAGGCAGCACGTTACCATACCATGACGTCATAAACAATCTGAGATTGTTTTTTATTGCATCACTTACAGAGGCTTTTTGGGTAATTTAAATGTTTAATAATTAAATAAATAAACGTTTAAGGGAGAGAAAAAAACCCAATTAGATATTCTGTTTTAGAAGGGAATTTCCAATAAGTTAGGATTGAAAATAAAATAAAAATTAAGAGATACTGTGATTGTCTATTGCACTTCATCAAACTGAACTGGATGCGCAGAATGAGCTTAGGGATCGAAATTTCCATTTTTAAACTTAGCATACCAATCGTAGCAGTTCTTTCAGATAAAACACCCTCTCCATACACAGTACGAATGTCATGAGCTTTTTATGATACTTTATGACCTTAAATTAAAAATAAAAAGTGAGATAACAAAAAACACTCTTTTTTTTTTTCTCAATGTGACATTCAAAATTAACATAAATTAACTCAAACAAAAAACCGACACAGATTCAAGTAGAGCAAAACATTCACTTTCGAATGATCTAAGACATTATGCTAAAAGCGTCTAATGGCATGCAGAATGTTAAAATTATAAGCAATCTGGGTCATGAGTCTTTTGGTTTAAAACAATTTTGATATTGTTGTTCAATGCTCCAAACCTCAAAAAAGTGAGAATTATACCTTGAAAATATCTTACTTGTAACTGAATTTTATTTCTATTTAATGTTTTTTTATGTAAAAAAATTTTTTTTTCCCCTATCCTACAGATAAGAAAAATAAAAATACCCAATAATCCACTACAAAAGCAATTAACGAAAAGCAAGCTAAAACAGTTAGAATCAGAATCCGAAAGTGAAGAATATTCAGATGATGATGCTGTCTCTGTAGCTTCAACTATAAATATAAGACCTAAAGGAGAAACTCCTGAACAAAGACTTGAAAGAAAAAAGTTCTTTAAACAAGTGAAAAGCGTAAGTTTTTTTTTATTTTTGAAACCATGTATTCAATGTCATATTTCCTATTTGTATTGAAAGCTTAAAGCATTAGTACTTCAGTTACATCTGAACTTGAAATTTTACTTAAATAATTTTCATCCATATACTATTTTTATTACTGAGTTACTATAATGGTTACATTGATTATTTAAAAATTAATTTTAAGACTTAAAATTCATTTAAGCTTCAATGTCTTTTTTTTTTTTTTAATCTATTCTCAATGCTAAAAACATATTATGGTCCAATGAAAGATAAGAGACCCCCTTCCATTTTTTCTTTCACTTCTGATAAATCTCTTTACTGAGCATTAGGAAATTATTTAATTTAAATATTATATTCCTAATTTTGTGCCCTCCTCCAACAAGTCTTTAAATTGTGAACATTTATTCTCTCAACAGGAACTTACCTAGTTGTGTTTTATACAAAAAGATTTTTCCTACTCTCAGCAAGTTAAAAGTTATTCTTAATGAGTTTAAATACTTACCAATATACCTAATTAATTATATTTAGGAAAAATTAATGACTGATATTAATGAAAATAGTTTTTGGAAGAAAATAAATAATGATTAATTTTGAAAAGCTGTCATCTTGGTTTATTTGCCACAAACACTAAAAAAAGCTATATAGAAATAGTAACTTTGGGTTTTTGACTACAGATTCAAAAAATAATCATTTAATTGCACAGAATCCTATGTAATAACTCATTATTTTTCCTTCTGGGCCATGCAGCTGAAACCCTCCCCATGAAAGTGTATACTACAGATAATTTTTTATCTAAATTTTTGTACAGAAAACAAACGAAAATTCATCATTAAAACATCTCTCAACTAATAAAAAAAGAAAGCAAACATAAATAAGGATACTTCTTTTTTCTGTAACTTAATTACAGACTTAACTCTAGGGATTTATTTCATTTTTTAGTATTGTATAAAATTAGTACTAATATGTATATTAGCAAATTTAGTTATGTGTAAGTGAGATAAAGCTAAATTCCTACAATAATAATATGTTGAGGTTTCAAAGTTGGATTCATAAAGATAGCGCTGCTGACTCTGTAAATTCTAATACTGGGCTTTTACCTATGTTAGATAATATACTAAGCATTGAACCATTGGTTAAATTCTACGAAAATTTCCCGTATATAAACTTAGAGAAAACCAGGACTTTTTATCAGAGAGTTAATTATCAAATGTTAGTACATTTACTTGCAATTTTATTTTTCTAGGAAAATCGGAAATTGAAAAAAGAAAATAAAATTGCTTTCAAGAATGAGAAGAAATTCCAACAAACCCAAGCAATGAATGTTCAAAATAACAGAGGAATAAGATTATTCTGACATCTTTTAAACCTGTATAAAACTTGTTATAAATTGTTTTTAATATATTATATCGTTTATTAAGATGGAACTTTTTGTCATTTTTGTTCATTTACCCAAAGCATATATATATATATAAAACTTAGAGGGATGTTTTTTTACTTATTTTTTCAACTTACATATTATGCTTCATAGGATTCTTTTTGACTTCTGTGTCCATAGTATGTCGTGAAATGCATGAAAAATGTCCTTGATTAGTATTTTTAATACACAAGTTACAATAAATAAAAACTGTCCTGAAAGATACTACTTGAGGTCATATAACCAGGGCTAGGCGTGAGATACTTTTCTCACTTAATGCCACTATTATAAAATATCGTAACTTTTATTCACTGTTTTTAAGGCTTAATCATTTATCTCACTTTTTTTTAAATTTCACAATCCCCCCCCCTCATTTCAATCAAAAGAAAGATATTACAATCCTCTTGCACTAATAAAGAAGGACTATGGGTGGGGTGTAGAAGAGGATTGAATATGTGAAGAAAAATTGACAATTTCCACTTCCAAATGAATTCCCCTAGAAATGCAAGAGAGCCATTCACTGTATTGAGGAATGATTTTAGTCATCATCTATCTTAACTTCCGTTTACTTATCTGCCGTGGAGTTGCAGAACATGAAATTTTTTGTATTTCTCATTGAATTGAATTTCCTTATCCTGTATGTGCTTAATAGAGTATAATTTTGCATCATAGAAATTAAGCACTCTTAAAAGTTCTTATTTTACATTAAAAGTGCATAAAAGTTCTTCAGGGTGGCCACTCAAATCCGATTTAAAATTTCCCCGATTTTTCCAGGTTTTCCAGATAAAAATCATAAAATTTCCAGGTTTTTGTTTCTTTATTCATATAAAGTATAGGATGTGTAAGGGAAAAGTGTCGATATTATAAAATATTTTATTCAAAATGTTATTTTTTTAACATATCATCTTGAAAAAAATAATTTATTTTGACAATTTTCAAGATTTTTTTTAATGTTTTGGTACAAAATATCGAATCAAAAATCACATTGACCAACAAAAGAGTAAAATTAAATATAAATACAGTGGAGCATCGTTTATACGACGCCGAAGGGACCACCGAAAAACGTCGTATAAACGATAACGTCGTATAATCGATTTTTACTTCTAAAACTGAAACTAACTCTGTTTTCAGTTAATTTTAATGTTTAACGTGTTGATTTACATAAATTTCTAAATTAGACAAAGCAAAACAAACAAATAACCAAAG